GCAATTAAATATTTATTTTCTTATAACTTTATGTAAAGTCTTAAATTTATTGCCCATTCTCTCAGCTGAGGACAAGCCAATCCTGGAATACAATCCAAGTAAAAATGTACTTCTCAATGCAGTTCTCAAACTCAAAAAGAAATATGCATTTCCGCCACTAGGGGCACTGCAGAGCAAAGGCTCCAGTCTATTTATATCCCAAAAGCTATCTTGTACTTCCTACAGTTGAGTGATTGTCGGTATGATAGCACATGATCGTTTCTGTCCTCTCAGGCCTTAACTGACAGGTAAGAGGGTACATTTGTCTGACAAATTAGTTTATCTTTATAACCTTTTAAATGATTCCTAAAATGTTCTACACCATCACAGTCTAATGTTTACCTATAGTCTGGTCAGTAAATTGTTTTTTGTTCCTCCTCAGTAAAATGGTGAGACCAACATCTAGAGTTCGGAAACATTTCCACAGTGCAACTTCTGCTGAGAGCAAAGCTGCAATTTGCAAATAGTGTGAGAAGAAATATTATTTTCCAAATGCTACAAGGATGACAAAACACATCCTTGCATGCTACAGATGCCCTATAGACATTAAGAAATACTTTTATGTAATTAAATGAGGAGGACCATAATGAAAGCGCAAGTAGCTTTTCCCTCCAGAGTTCTCATTACAGAAACAATCTTTCTACTGCTTCTGGATCATCACTAACAGGGTTATTCACAAAAGGGTGAATAGTTTGGAGAAGGGAGGAGAAGTGAGCAATCTAGGTCATCATTGTTGATTTGGTAAAATTCTCCAATTCAGCTCAATTTCCAAATCAGCTATGTTGTCCTAGATTGTTCACTTCTCCTCCCTTCTCCAAACTCTTCACCCTTTTGTAAATAACCCTGTAAGTGTTTCTTCACCAGCAGCATCTTCAAGTAAGGAAGTGTTGCAAAACGCTGCCTCACAAAAATACACAATACCTTCATTTATAGATAAAATGACACCTGAAAATCAGTAGAGAATTTATCAAGCTCTTGCAAGAGCAATATACGCTTCTGGATCAGCATTGTCAATACCTGAAAATACATATTGGCAGGGAGCTTTTAAGTTATTATGACCATCATACCGTTTGCCAATCAGACATTGTTAAAAAAAAAAGGAAAGTTTAAAAAAGTTAAGATTATTACAATAAAAAAAACCCTAAAAGGATTTTTAAAATCTCCTTGCCCCCAAGTGAACGCAAACATGCATGCCACCTAGTCATGCATACAGCAATGGTTTGGACTTTGAAACGAGAGGAATAATTCTACACCTGTCATTGATTGTTATTATTTTTAACTCTAAACTGATCATTGCCTATAGACCATTTTTGGTACCGTACTTTGCTGCTTCCAGGCGCATTCAATTTTATGACTTACATATTTGGTATCTATTTACTTGGCACAACCTTGTCTATTATATTATACAAAAAAAATTGGCGATTTATATTCTGTATTATCTAGTATGCTGAGGTATGGACACTGTGCAGGCCACTCAGGTGGACCTGGTTTTGTAAACCTGAGTTTAATAATCTGGAGGAGTGTCCACATTTGCTCCATATAGTGCATCACTGACCCTCCCCAACCCCAGCTCAGCACCACATTTTTTCTGGAAATATTCATGTTCCCCCTGTCTAGCTGGCAGCACAAAGTGTCTGGAAATTCTTAAACCAACTTCCTGATTTAGCACTGTAGTGCCCTTGGTATTTACTCTGCATCCCATTCCAAATGTAACTAAAACTTGCAAATACTCCCCATCTCCAGCTCAGCAGTGGAGTATCCTTGGGAGTATCAATCTCTTCATCATGGATGAGCTCTCCAAGAGCCACTCCGTGATATACTCTTATTTGATATCCAGTGTATGTGGGAACTTTAAGTAATCACAATGAATAATCTCTACTCCATACTGCTACTATACCACTTGAAAGAAAGAGTTGTAAACAAGGCTTTGATTAGTCACTTGAGACACATTTAAAGGGATGCGGTCATGTGAAAAGTATGGATGCTGCCATTGCTGAACTCCTTTTTGGGAATTGTAGTTCCCTAGCTTTCATGCTAATGCTTTGGCTTTAATGCTTTACGTCAGTGGCCCAGAGCAAGTACAGACATTAGGAATTCTGGCACATTTTTTTGTAACATTTACAGCATGCTTGTTCGGAGTATGTGGCTCAATATTTAAAGTAGATACAGTATGTCACCTGTACACAAAAATCAAGTGTCCAAATCATCTTGATGCATGTGTATCTTATCACAGGAAAGGAAAAGTTTTGGGGCCACTCTGGATCCCTTCATCGGCCACAGTATGAAGATTATTGTCATATTGTGCCCAATGAAGGAACCCAGAGTGGCCCTGAAACATTGCCATTCCTGTGACAAAATGTGCATGCATCAATAAAGAGGATTTTGGACACTTGATTTTGATGTGTCGGTAACCTACTGTATCTTCTTGACTTGAACGGCACCATCCACAATCACTTCAGCACCCATCCACAAGGGGTATACCGATAAGGAATATCTGTTGGACTCCGTATTTAGTTGGGCACAACCAGGCAACAAGAATATTCTAAAGGAGGCCAGCAATGGCAGTTACCCTACTTCCCTTGCGGCTGTGTCACTTTTTTAAAGGCATTTTTCTATATATGTAACAAGATTAAACTTTTTTTCTTTACAGGTTACATTGTTCATGTAGGAATAGATGTTATTTTAAAACTGACTGGTAATGTCTATATAAAACCTAAGGTGTTTAGACCACATTGAGAACTGTTTAGATTTGTTTAAAAGGAACAAGCAATCAGCCCTTTATAATGTATAGGACATTTGGCCTTTATCTGCCATTAACTCATGTGTTCAAGGTAGATTTGGCAATAGATGCATGTGTATATAAAGCTGTTTTATGATTGAGACCACATGGATGTTTTTTCCATAATTTTGAATCAGGCAGGAGCAGTAAATTTCGGGAACAATTTAGTGTTGTACTTCATGAAGTGTCAGTGTACAATATTTGCGCAAGTCCCATTTGCGGGTTTTACTGCAATCATGGCAAAGCCACCTTATTTGTATGACCTTTCTCTCCACTTTCTGAAACAGCATCTTTTTAACCGTCATTAACAAACATTAGTGTTCTGTCATGCTATATTAACCCATCTTACCTGTAGGAGTAGGAAAGTAGATAATTATGACTAGATAGCACTAAATAGTTTTGCTAAAGTGTATGAAATGTGGATTTGATTTCAAATCGTATGCAGGAGAACACTGACTTTTTACCACCTAAAATTGGCAGTGAACAGCAGCAGACCTGAAATGGAAATTGGCAGGTACCACTGGATGTACGGGAGTTCAAGGCCACAGCAAGTGCCAGCAATGAGCGGCAGTATGAGTCCCTTGGGGACTGGAGGTAAATGAATGGATGGGATAGATTCAGAGTTCACATGGAGTACCGTGCTTAATAGCTACTGCTTATCACATTTGATTGTCCAGATTACACTTTGCATTTTTTCTGGCAGATGATTGCAACTTGTGCAAATGAAACACCATGATTTTCTTTGTGGTATATAATGCAGCCAGTCATGGTTTTGTATGTGTAATAAATACCATAAAAAACATTGAACTTTAAAACATTAATGATAAATGCTGAGCAGACTACTGATGGTTGAGGCTTTATATGGACCAGTTGAAATGGTGAAATGTGAAAGTTACAGCTCCTTGAAAAATAAGCACTCTATTCTGAAACGTCTCTTTTAGGTATAAGGCTAAAACAAAAAAAATATGTTATTTTTGATTATCATCATCATCCATCATCATTATTATTCAGGATTTATATAGCACCAACAGGTTGTACAGTATAGGGAGACATGCAATACCATACTAAAGGATTAGAAGGACCCTGCTTGTGAGAGCTTACAATCTACAAGGTTATGGAACATCTTACATTTTCTTTTGTTTCCCTCTGTTCTAATTTGATTTCATCAGACTAGATAAATATTGGCAATTTGTATATGTTTTTAGAAAATTGGAGAAGGTTTTAAATGTCAGCAGTTAGGCAGTCCTGTCTGAAGAAATATTAAATAGTACAATAAAACTGCCATACAAAGTAACAGTACTTACTAAAAAGTCCATTTGGGAGGCATTAAAAAAAACTCCCTAAAGAATTTTAATCACGGAACATTCTGTCTGCAGTTTTGTTAGTGACGCCATTGCCAATTTAAAAAATGGCAATCTTTCATGGCTACAAGATTATAAACACATTAAACTTCTGCTCCCAGTAATGGCTTTGATTTTGGGGAGCATATATGCACAGTATTTTTTTATTCATTACAATAAACAGCCATTACAACTGAAAACTGCTTAAACAGTGTGCTACTGCAACAATTATTGCCATGTCTATTTAGGGTGTCCATAGAATTTCTGCAGAGTGGTTTTGGAGCCCTCTGATGATAAATGACCTCTGCATGGACTGTTGCTGACTTCCAGACCTGATATCTATCAGCTTGTATATTCTCAGTGGAGCTGAAACTGATCATTTAAAAGCCACGCTGGCATATGTGTACATGTTAGATTTGATCATCAGCATAGACGGCCAGCAGTTGCCCATTGGACCACCCAATCTTAAGTAGGAGAAGCCTAGATCGGCCCAGTACACAGAGGTTTAGCAGCTTTGCAACCATCTCATGTATTTTAAGCATGCAGATGTGTTTAAGAATGAACTCAATAACCATGCTGATAAATGGAAATATACATTTATTACACTTTGAAGACTCATAACAGTTAATCCTGTAGTTATAGTAAGAGAATAATACAGGAAGGAAAGTGGCATTTTTGTTTCCCCATAAGTTTCATGTTAACAAGCAGATTTCAGGTTCAGAATTCAGGATATGCATTAGATTAGTTGGTTAGAGATCAATAATGTTTGTGTAGTTGAACTTAAAAGTTGGAAATTTGGGTTAAATTTAATATGGTTGGTGGTTGCATCATATAGAAGAGCTGAGACAGACAAGATGACACGATTAGCATCTCCCTATTCTGGGCCCAGAATAGGGAGTGAATGCGGCTGCCATATTTCAAGTTCTTTTAGCAGGCCTTGGTCACTGCAGGATGAGATGGCTCTGTGGCCCACTCATGTGTGAATACAGCCATCAGACTCCCTTCTTTCTCTGCCTTCCGGCTCTTGAGTACACATGGCCCATTCTGCAACCGCACATGTGCAGGCCCCCTCAACTACTGCGTGTTTTACACACCTATGCCTGTAGCATAAGATATCATAGGTCGCTACCATGCTTTTGCAGATCACTGCCGCCAAATTGTGATGCAAGAAATAAGACATCAGGACCTTCAGCGTGTGTGGTAGTGGCCGGACAGACCAGTCCCTCACATGCAGGGTTTTGCTGCCATATTTCTGACATCACAATATGGAGGCGTTTCTTATCACGAGCACGGTAGCAACCTTGGAGATCACACACTACTGCTCATGCATGATATATTGCCCTATTGTTTAATTACAGTGCTCACACACTGCAGCAGCATACCATTTTATTGGAGACTGGCTTTGGGCTCAGTCATAATGATGCAGCTAGCATCAGACAACTGAACAAATGCTACAGCAGCATTAAGTGGGGTGCTGTTGTAGTGAAAACTGGCCAGGCACATCAGTCTCAAATAATAGCAATCATCCAGGACCCAAAGTAGCACACTTTATTTAAGAGAATTGGCTATATACAACTTTACTCCCACACTTAGCAGGCAGAGTTGTAAGAACAGCCCACCCACTCACCCATGCTCCACCACTTATCCAACAACACTCCCCCCACCCACCCATTACCAGCACATCTGAATGCCCCACTTGTACCACCGCTCCTGTATGCTGATACCCCACCCTTACCAGTGTGCCTTTCCCCCAACCCCTCTATGTTCACACATGGACAGCTCCCACTATCACCACCACACCTTTCACCACCCCTCATCCCCAATCTTGTCTATTCTAGAACGGACACAGGTTTGTTAGTGTCATATATTTAGAAAATAAAAGACATAATATTCCAAAAACAGGCAGATTCATAATGTTTCTGTAAGGTACTATAGAGAATTAGCTAGCATTACACAAACAACTAGTGGTTTTTGCGTTGTTTTTATTTTCCAACTAGGGATCTCTTCTTCTTCTTTTTCTTACCCCACATGTAAATCCACTTTTCAGCAGCACAATTTCAGCAATGCAAGTTTCAGTGTGAGCTTCATTGATCCACATGTGGTCAGTTTTAGTCTACAGACTCATTGGTCCTAGGTGTAGTTCTCTATGAAAACTGTGTTGTCTGCAGTATTGAATCTAATCATGAGTGGGGGCTCCTAGGAGCAGTTGTATTGTGAACAGTGGAGTTGACAAGGATTGCTGTCAAGACAACCTACCTCAAGGCACAGCAGATACAGCTGATGTAATATACCAATAAACTGAATATGCATTATCTTTACTAGATGTCAGAGCTTTTTCTGTCCGGCATCATAAGACCGAAGACCTAAACCCAGGGTGTAAAAGGCAACTCTATTTTTGTCCTTGGTAAAGTAACGGCCCCTGCCCATCATTTGTTAAATCCCAGAGCCTCTACTGCTAACCTAAGTTCTTGTGGTTGCTTTTTAAACGACGGGGTGACTTAGTTTTGGAAGGTGTGGGGTTTAATCTGGACTCTAGGATATGCACAGTCTGGACCTAGGATTTAAAAGGGTTCACAGGGGCACAAAGATGGCACCTTTTATGTTGACGTTCTTGTAGAAATGTTTGTCAGGTTTAGGGGACATCTAGGAAGCTGCAGTAGCTACATGTTCTGATCTTCTTCATTAATTTTTTCTTATAAATATGGTAAGCAAAGTACCCTACATGTAGTCCCAGAGTTACTTACATATGACTCCTACTTACAAACGGAGACTATTACTGTACAGCAGGGGTAGTTGTAATACCACCAAGCTCGTGCTGACGAGGAGTGCCCGCCTTTTTGTGTCTGGTTTGTACTACTGTACCTACATTACAGGAAGTTGGCTCTTGTTAGACGTGCAGACGAGGGGTGCCCGCCTCTTCTTCTGTCACTGTGAGGTTTTTACTGCTGTCTGTATCTTCATTAGAAAGATTTACAGGGTTATTCACAAAAGGGTGAAGGGTTTGGAGAAGTGAATAATCTAGGCCAAATTAGCTGATTTGGAAAAAAATGCTCCAATTCAGATCACTTCCAAGATCAGCTATGTTGTCCTAGATTGTTCACTTCTCCTGCCTGCTCCAAACTCTTCACCCTTTTGTGAATAACCCTGTTAGTCTCGCTTCCTGTTCTTGAGACAACAGGAAGTGAGAGGAAATCTACCCTTAATAAGGGAAATTCACTCCTGTAAGAGTTATCATGGGAAAAAGTTGTCTCCACTGAAGCTATGTCACCAATCCTTGTTTCCACGACAACCCAAAATTATCAAAATCCACAGGGACAGAAAGTGAGGTGAAATCTGAACAGGGGCACACACACCAAAACAAACTTTTATAGGGGGTTAGCCCTTCCCTATGCTTTCCAAAACTAAAAAACATTTTTTTTTGGCTGGAGTTGCACTTAAAAAATGTGTACCTGTTCCAACTTACATACAGATTGAACTTAAGAACAAACCTACAGTCCCAATCTTGTTCGTAACCCGGGGACTGTGTGTAGTTGATTTTACATAAAGGTATCATGTTTTTTCAGAGAATATAAATACTTTTAATATTTTTATATTTCAGAACACTTTTTCTTGATCTCATTTGAGGTTCGCTCTTGAGTTGCAGTTAATGAGCTCTGCTATTCGGTTTTAAAGACATCATCATACTATTTCTATTGTTTCCTGACCTTAATCAATGCTTGACATATTCGGGTCAAGGCACTGTTCTCCTTTCAGCATTACATGCTGCCCCTTCTGCTCCTGTTCTGGAGTGCACTAGTTTCCCAGCTTTGCATATGAAAAGTCTAGACTTCCTGAGAACCTTGAGAAACAATACCGCCTGACAAATTTCACAGCTGTGGGGGAGATTTTTTTTTTAAACAACATTTCTAAAAAGGAAAAAAAAAATGTCTGCCAACCTAGTATACATGAAGACCCTGAACCATTCAGTCGACATGCACATGTCCTCACACATACTGAAGAAAATATGGTACATGAGTGTTTCTGCACTTTAAATAATTAGTAAACTGTATCTGAAAGTATAGTAGAATGGTACTAAAAACAAGTGACAAGAACTTCTAAATATCAGCTTTTGGCAGTTTAATATGGTCAGAGTACTTTTCTTTCTTAGCAGTGGTAATGCTTAATGCATCACAAACCAAGATTTCTAATTGGTTGCTAAATCTTCTATTGCTCTTTATCATTAAAAATATGATATGGGTACAAAGTTCACTCATG